TATATTGCAAGAGGTACTTGCAATTATGGATGGGAAGAGGCTTACTAAGACATATCAACCAATTGTGCAGTGTGATCTTTTGATCAAACAAAGGAATTTAGAAGATATTTAATGAAGTATTTACAGTTAGAATTACATGACGTCTTGAATTTGCTTCAAAATAATCCAGCGTCTGTATGTCTATGTGTCTTTGTGTATGTGTCTCATCTTGGTATAGATGAAACAAGACTGATGGTGAAGTGATAATCCTTGAACTGGTTGATAAGTTTGACTTATCTATTTTGATACGATATCTATTATGATAAGTTGGACTATACTATTTTTTTGAATGTTGAAAATGTCCACAGTAAAAAGCATTCAACTTGATCTAGTCATGAAATTAGGGCATATTTGGAGAGAAATGGGTTAGCATTGAATCATGGAGTTTGAGGTGACTCACAGGTCATTGAAAGTTGAGCTGGAAAGGCCTCTAGGACACCCGCAGGGGACCAGGGTGGATTACCACTTGCTGTGATGGTTCCAATCACTAAGTCTGAAGGGGGAGGGGGGCGCTCCGGAGGAGGCAAGAAGCAGTGCAGGCTTTCAAACACCTAGCAGCCTGGCATGGCCAAACCAGGTCGGCTCCCATCTCTCTACCACCACAGGTGCCCCAGTGGCCTATAGGAAAAGGACAACTCCTGGAACAGGCACTGAGATCCTTCCCAAGCTGGGCTCAACCTGCCTTTCCACTCCCTTTCCTGCCCCTCCGCTCCTGGTTTCCCCGGCCACAGCCATTGCTAATTCACTGGGTCTTGAACACGCTGCCCTTTCTCCCCCCTTGCCTTTGCACTCGCTGTTCCCTCTGCCTGCAAATCCTCCTGCTGTGACCTCCCAGCTGCTCTCCACACCCTGCTCCCAGGTCTCTTCCTCCTTGCCAGAAGGAGTTACTCCCTGCTCTGCCCCCAGTACTAATAGATCATGTCATCTATCAAAGATAGGATAATTACCTATTTATAAATCTCCTCCCACCCAACTCTGTGCTGTCCTAGAGTGAGCACTCAGTCTTATTTACATTGATTTGCTCAGGGCAGGGCATACATTAGGTATTTGATCCTTTTTTTTGGGGGGGGGGAGATAACATACTGATGGAGGGACCCAAAGAACAAATCGTCTCTGGATGGCCCAGTGGCCCCCAAAGGCTACCATACTGTGCTCTTCCTTCTAAGAGGTCCTCACCAACCTAGGGCCCAAAGCCACAGTCTGACCCAAGAGTACCTAACAAGGTCACCTAGCTACCAACAACACAGCAATAGACAGAAGAAAGATATTTAGGAGAAAGGCTTTGAGTCTTATGGTATGTGTGTGGGAAACAGGATGGAGAGATCTTTTTATTATCAAAGTCTCAAGAGTTCTGCAGGAAATAGTTCAGGGAACTTGGTGAGCTAATAGGTTAACCACTGACCCTGAGTTTTAAGGGCCTACAGCTTCAAAATTTAGACACCAACAGCAGTTGCTGGGTGTTTCTCTCTGCCAATCCCCAGGAAATGATCCACCTTGTCCTAAGCAGCAAGCTGCAGCCCCTCAACCAAGAACCTAGTGCCCTGGGTTCCTAGGAAAGCTTGCCCTTCTTGGTAGTTTAGAATTCTTTTCTTAGCACCTTACAGTTCTCTGCAAGAAGAAAAAGTGCTCCACTGAGACCTTCTCAAAGACCCTATTCATCTGACCACCCAAACCAAACCAAAACCACTCCTAGCAAATCGATGCCAACCCACAGCAACCCTATAGGACAGGGGAGAGCTCTCCCGGGGTGTTTAGGAAACTAACTCTTCACAGTAGAGCGCCCCATCTTTCTCCTGTGGAGAGGCTGATGCTACATCATACCAGGTTCTAGAAAATACCCATTCACTTATCAAGCCTTATTTTTTTTCTTAAACTATTTTCTTCTGATGATAGAAATATCTGCTCATTTGGAAAACACAAAGAAGTACAAAGAATAAAATTAAAATGTCCCATAAACCTACCACCTAAAAATAACAACTATTAACAGTTAATGTATATGTATGTTATAAACTGAGAATCATTCCATATAGTTTTTTCTTTTTAACAGTTTTATTGGCATATTGTTCACATCATACAATTCAATAGTTCAATCACATCAAGAAGAGTTGTACAATCATCACCACAAGCAGTTCATATACAGTTTTATTAGTTTATTTTTACTAATCTCATGAGGGGGCTTCAAAAAATTCATGAAAAAACCATTTTTGTGTAAAAAAAATCTATTAATTCCATTCTCCAGGAATCGATTGGAGCCCCCTGTATACTGGAGCCTTGGTGGTGTAGTGGTTATGTGTTGGACTGTGATCCATGAATTCAGCGGTTTGAAACCACCAGCAGCTCCATGAGAGAAAGACTGGGCTTTCAACTCCCATAAGCAGTTCCAGCTTCCAAAGCCCCCAGGGGGTTGCCAGGAGTCAGTATTGACTTGATGGCAGTGAGTTTGGCTTTTTTGGTTTTGTATTCTGGTGTTGTGAGCATGTTTTCAAGTCAACTAATATTTGAAAACATGATTTATAATGACTGGCTAGCAGTCTATCATATGCTATAATAGTTTGTTTCAGCCACTATCCATCAGACATTTATGTTGGTGCCTATCTTTCTCCATTACAAGTAATACTGTGATTCGCTGTGGTCCTGGCAGAATTGCCAGAGCAGAGGGTATGAGCTCTTAGAAGGTTCTTGGAACGTGCTGTTGAATCGGTCTCCGGTTTATTCTCCCTCTCACAGCACGAGAGTTCCGTGTGTCAACATGCACTTTCTTATTGAACATATTTGAATGAGGTAAGAGGCTTCTATAATTTTTGCCATGAACATATGTTTTATAAGCAAGGGGAGGAAATCATGCCACCTTTTTTAAAGAAGAAAGAAGCATTATTTCCCCAATTAAGCAGATTAATTCTTGGGCCCATGAATTAATAAAGTCCTGAGGAGACTGACGAAGTGCTTCTGGATAGAACAAAGATGCTTCTAAGAAGAAAGTTCGAAGGACCTTGGCAATGGCATTCACCAAAATAAAGTCTGAAGGAAAGAAGAGACAACCTTGGGAAAGCTTCACAGATCTGAGGGGACAAGACCAGTTCTGAGGTCTCCGATGGGATCAGAGGCAGTTTTTGTTTTATAAGGTCTTGGGGACAATCAAAAGTTGTGTCCACATCAGTATTGGAAGATTGAGAATGCCCCCCGACGCTGTTTGGCCCCGTCACTGAGGTGGACAACGGTGTGGAGGTGACTGAGAAGGTGGCCCAGAAGAGACATCTAGAAGACATTCACTGATTCTGAGAAGCTGACTTGAAAAGACTGAAAGTTGGTTCTAAAAAGACTCAAAGGTGGTTTACAAGGACAACTTCTGTTTCCCCCGCTACGTCCCTTCCCAAGCCCCAGGACCAGCCCTCCCACACAGGGACTCTGTTAGTTTGCCCAATGAACGGGGCACTGCTTGCTTCGTAGGCGTCTGGACACTGGCTCTGAAAGTAAACTGAGCATACTCCCAAGGAGTCCAAAACCCCTTTCTCTGAAGAGGGAATCCACTGCTGGGGGTGTGGAAGTTCCGGATCCTGGATAGGGAGCTGAGCAGTCATTTCGGTCCTGGTGGGTGGCTTGCCTGGGCCACGGAGCAGGGAAGAGAAACTGCGTGTGGATGCACTTCCACACACTTGCTTCACCCCTACATTTCTTAAGTTCCCTCCCTCTAAGTGACCCCTAAGTGATAGCTCAAGAGAGCTTCAGTCTCCCTTACCCTGAGACCTACTCTGGTCTCCAGCTTAGCACCAGCCTTTCAGAGAGCCTTGTCTTCTGAGCACACAAGCTGCTCAGAGCACAGACAAGTGCAGCACAGGAGAAAGGAGACTCTAGGGATGGAGGAAATGCCCGCGAGATAGAATGAATGCTGGTTGGGCACTTAGACTGGGAAGGAAAAGATAATTCTTTTAAAATGGTTTTCTTAAAATATAATTTACAGGGGTGAGAAGGGGGAGAAAATTATGTTGCAACATATGTACTAATGTGCTTGATACAGTTGAGCTGTGTATTGTTAAAAGAGTTGTAAGAGCCCCCAATAAAAGGATTTATCATTTAAAAGAGGAGGGGATTTAATTTACATATAATAAAATTCAATGGAATTTAGTAAATTTATAGACTTGTGCAAATGACAATATAATCCTATTTTAGAACATTTCCACCATCCCACAAATAACGTACTCATTTGCAGTCAATACCCAATTCTGGATAGCTACTAATCTGATCCCTGTCTCAGTAAATTGGCCCTTTCTAGACATTTTATATAATTGGAACTCTAACACGTGTGGTCTTGATATCTAGCTTCTTTTTGCATGTTTGTGTGCTTACTCCATGTGGTAAACTAAATCAGTATTCCACTCCTTTTTATTGCCGAATGCTATTCCATTGCATGGATGTGCCACATTTTGCTTATGTGTCCATTAGTGGACATTAGAGTTGTTTCCATTGTTTGGATACTATGAACCATGCTGCTGTGAACACTTGTGAGAATATATATATGATTATATCTCCATTTCTCTCGGGTACATCCCCACAGGTGGGATTACTGGGTCTTGTGGTAGGTGGATGTTTAGCTTTAATAAAAAATGGTCAAACTATTTTCCAAAGTGGCTGGACCTTTTACATCCCCATCAGCGATGGGGGAGGGTTCTAAGTTCTCCATAACTTTACCAACACTTGTTAATGTTTATCTGGAAAGGATAATTTCTTTTCTTTTTTTCAGCAAAGGGAAGAAATTTATTGGAGTCCATATGGGAAACCATAGAGGGACCCAGCATACCCTACTGTATAGGCGTGGCCAGGCAAAGGGTCACACCAGTCTCTGTACCCCCATGTCCCAGAGGGACTCCTCTTGAGCCGAGCCCCAAAGCCCCAGAACTGGCTGCTGGTGGGGATTGGAAAGGATCTATATATCTATATCTATATATCTATAGATATAGATATATAGATATATGTATCGCTTTACGGATTTGCATGTCATCCTTGCACAGGAGCCATGCTATCTTCTCTGTATCGTTCCAATTTTAGTATATGTGCTGCCTAAGCAAACACTCATTTCTCAAGAAAATTCTTAAAAGAAGCAAAGCAACAGCCAAGACCGCATCCCTCCGGCGAGTACGAGCTTCTCGCTGCCGCACAGTCACCGCCGCCGGCTCACACTCGCCACCCGCAAGCTCACCATAGATGCTGACATCGTTGCGCTCGTGGTCGACAACGGCTCTGTGCAAAGTGGGCTACGCAGGTGAGATGCTCCCCGGGGCCGTCTTCCCCTCCATCGTGGACCGTCCCCGGCATCAGGGCATGGTGGTGGACATGGGCCAGAAGGACTCCTACGTGGGTGACGAGGCCCAGAGCAAGCGAGGCATCATGGCCCTAGTACCCCATTGAGCACAGCATCGTCACCAACTGGGACGACATGGAGAAGATCTGGCCCCACACCTTCTACAACGAGCTCCGTGTGGCCCCTGAAGAGCAGCCCATGCTGCTGACTGAGGCCCCCCTGAACTCCAAGGCCAACCGAGAGAAGATGACCCAGATCATGTTCAGACCTTCAACACCCCCGTCATGTACGTTGCCATCCAGGCCGTGTTGTCCCTCTATGCCTCTGGCCGTACCACTGGCATTGTGATGGATTCCGGCGATGGGGTGGCCCACACTGTGCCCATCTATGAGGGGCATGCCCTCCCCCATGCCAGCCTGCGTCTGGACCTGGCTGGCCGGGACCTGACCGACTACCTCAAGAAGATCCTGCCGGAGCGGGGCTGCAGCTTCACCACACGGCAGAGGGGGAGGTCGTGTGCGACATCAAGAAGCTCTGCTACGTCGCCCTGGACTTCGAGCAGGAGATGGCCACCGCCGCAGCCTCCTCGTCCCTGGAGAAGAGCTACGAGCTGCCCGACGGCCAGGTCATCACCATTGGCAACGAGCGTTTCCGCAGCCCCGAGGCCCCCTTCCAGCCCTCCTTCCTGGGAATGGAATCCTACAGCATCCACGAAACTACCTCTAACTATCATGAAGTGTGATGTTGACATCCGTAAGGACCTCTACGCCAACACAGTCCTGTCCGGTGGCACCACCATGTACCGCGGAATTGCCGACAGAATGGCAGAAGATCACAGCGCGGGCGCCCAGCACCATGAAGATCAAGATCATTGCTCCTCCCACCCCGAGCGCAAGTCCTCTGTGTGGATCTTCGGCTCCATCCTGGCCTCGCTGTCCACGTTCCAGCAGATGTGGATCAGCACGTAGGAGTACGACGAGTGTGGCCCCTCCATCGTCCACCGCAAATGCTTCTAGGCCGACTGTTCCTTAGCTGCGTTACGCCCTTTCTTGAGAAAAACCTAACGTGCGCAGAAAAAAAAAAAAAAAAAAAAAAGATGAGATTGACATGGGAAAAAGAAGAAGCAAAGCAGCCCAGCCCCCCCGCTTGCAGTCAGCAACCTTGTCTATGTCGGAGCAGACCTGTGCTCCCCGGGGTTTGCATGATGGCGTTCTGAAAGTTCTCCAAGGTGCCCCTGGACCAGCTCAAACCTCTAGCCTGTCTCTGAACAGCATGTGCACCCCCTGTGATGTGCATTTCCAGGTCTCTAGAAAGTGCCAGTCTGTCAGCGCTGGGGCCACAGGCCAGACCCATTCTCTTAGCTTAGCTGCCTTTTCTATGCTCAGCGTGCTCCACCTCCTCAAATTGCTCAGAGAAGAGAGTGAAGTTTCCTTTTTCATACTGCCACAGAAGGTGGTAAGATCGGCTCTGTGACAATGAGTGAATGAGTGGGCCCCACATCCCAGAAAACTGCAACAGACAGATGACCTCTGAGGCCACTTTGGCCAGCCAACTCCCAGTCCCAGCTAACCCTGAGCCCTCTTCTCCTTGGGAGGTGGGGGTATCCATTAGGCGTGCCAGGTACCTTGTCTCTTTAGAAATCTCAAGTCTCACCAAGGACTTGTACACATTTGTGGAGCTGAATAATGATAGTATACTTTGTTTGGCCCCAGACATCTCATTACTAGGAATGTATAAACAAAAGGGCAGGCGTTGAGAAGAGAGCCATAAAAATGATGGGCCTGCAAAGAGAAAGGAAGAGAAGCTATCCTTTTAGGAAGCTGGGCCCTGACTGGGAATGTGGGGACCTGGTGTTTATCACCTGGAGGAGGGGAACCTGTGGGGAAGAAGGAGCTAGAGTGGGGGGGAGAAGAGAAAAATAAAGCACGCAGCCACACACGGACCTGTAGAGAAGTTGGTGACGGCAACTGTGGTCGTAGTCTGCCTCCATGGGAGCAACCCCAACAGCCGTCCAAAGGCGAAGACCTTAACCCACCACCCCTCCCTCGGGGCATCTTCCAAATGCAGACCAAACTTACTGACCGGGCAGTCGAGACGGACTCACGGCCACCCTGTAGCATAGGGCAGAACTGCCCCTCGGAGTTTCCGAGACTGTAACTCTGGACAGGAGGAGAAGGCTTTGTGTTTCTCTCGAGGATCGACTGCCGGACTACTACTAAGCAGCGAAAAAAGAACAAGCTATGTATACAGGCAGCGTGATGGGATCGTAACAGAATGGTGTTGAGGGGAAACGGAGGAGCTGAAGACACCAGCCAGACCTATGGCATCTCTCCAAAGGCTCCCGCAGGCCTTCGTCACCAGACCCGGCAGACCAGCGAGCAAACCAACTGAAGCGAAGGCCCGGCTGGGCTCTTTTGATGCAAGAACACTGTGAGCCTCCGAAGGGTGATGGGTAAAACCGTGCCATCTCATCGGCTTGACAGCATACCCTTTCCGACCTGATTTCATTTCCCTCGGGACCCTGGTGGTTAGCTTTGCCCTTCCAATGGCACTAAGTGTTTCGAGACCCAGCCCAAACTGCAGGGCCTGGAGGGCAAGGCACACTGGCCCGACCTCCCCATATTGCAATTGTTAAGGGCTGTCAAGGCCATCTCAACTCTTAGCGATTCCCTGTGACAAGCAGAAGGACCCCCAGAGGGGAGCACATGGCCGGGGTTTCTCCCAAGAGCCGCTGGGTGGGTTCCAACTGCCAATTTTTCCGTTAGCAGCCAAGTGCTTTAACACTGTACCACCAGGGTTCTACAGCACCCCTACCCACTACCACTGCCCATAGAATTTCCAAGGCAATCCATCTCCGTGGAAGCCGTCGCCCATAGCAACTGAGTGCTTTAACAACTGACCCTGCTTTTTCCCCCAAACTCCAAATCAATGCAGCTGAACGCTCTAAAATCCAAGAGCGAACAGTACCTCCCGGGTACTAGAAAAGGGGCCTGGATGGCAAACCTACCTGGCTGCTACCCCCACAAGGTGAGTCTTCAAACCCACCAGTTGCTTCATGGGAGAAGAGTCGAGGCAGATTGTTTTCCATAATTTACAGCCTTGGAAACCCTTTGGGGAGGTTCTGTTCTGATCTACAGGGTGGCTGTGAGTTAGAATTGACTCGGTGGCCCAAGGGTCAGGTACAGAAGGAAGGGCCAAGAGTCCTTAAGACCTGGTTTGTGTCCTTTTCTTCAGGGCTTACCCTGAGCTGTTTGAGTTCCTCCTCCTCTCTGTCCTCCCCACATCCCTGAAGCCCAAGACAATTATCCCCAGGCAGTAAGCAATTGTTCAGCATTCTCTTGGGGCTCTTCCCAAAACCTCAGCCTTTAGGATGATGCGGGCTTTCTAATCAATGCTGCCCTGTGATCTTGTTTTCAGATTCCTAGCACAGAGCCAGAAGCTGAAACACCGCTTCTATTTTTCTTTATATCAGCCAGCACATTCCCACTAGTCTGAGCCTGTAAAATGGGACCATTCTTGGAGTCTTGCCCTAGTTCCACCATGCGAAGGACTTTGAGGTTGGACTGTCAGTCCTAAAAGAAATCTGGGTAACAGAATGAATAAAAATTAGTTAGCAGGCTTGGCAGATTTTCCCAGCAAGCCATCTACACCAGAAGCACTGAGAGGGCTTGTTAATCAAGGCAAGTCCCAGGACCCTCTCTCAGACCTCTGGAGTCAGGTGCTCTGGGACCTAGGGACTCTGATGGCCTGTACAATGATTGAGCTCCTCTGCTTCAACAGAACAATGTCTCTTTGCTCCTTCTTTTGCTTTTTATTCTTGCCATGTTTCGTTTCCTGGGAGTCTGGGGTGAGATACTCTTAAGAATGTAAAACAGGCATGGACTTGTGTTCCTGGCCCTGGAGTGAGATGGGGAAGGGTGGGTGGGGCTCGGATGGAGTTTGCCAGCACAAATATTGTCCCATCAGGACATAGCAATTTTGCCAGGAGGCTCACAGGGATGTGTCATTCGCTAGAGAAGGTGGCCCGGTTCACCCTGCTCTAGGCTGAGGTGTCTGGTTTCATGGGCAGAGATCAACAGTGTTGGTGGTATGGAGCTAAAATGAGAGAGAATGAGGTGGCTCACAGGTGATGGGGGCGGGAGGTACCTGGAATCCCCTTGGTCCCCGGGAAAGTGTGAGTTGAGCTCCTGAGAGGTGGGGATGGGAGAGAGGCAGGTTAGACCTGGAGCATTCAGTGCCTGAGAGCCACGCAGAGTAGAGGGGTTACTTCACTGACCTTGATTTTGAGGGCTCAGAAGCTGGGTGAGGAAGCTGAGGCTCACAAATTCCAGGACACAAAAAGGGGGTGGGGGGAGAATCAAACCATCCATCGGGAACCCTCCACAGGCAAATAACAAACACACACACACACACAAACACACACACACACACACACACACACACAGAAAAATGACAAAGGAAAATTCCAGGACACTGAATCTATTTTACTCATCTGTTTGATGGATGGTGGTTTGTGACCACCAATTCACAGAAGACTTAGTTAACACCCTCCCTACCAAAACCAAGCCAATCTTGTCAACTCCTGCTTACCAACTACATGTTCCCACCTTCCCTGAGCCCGCCCACCCCCCCACCCCCGTGGGTAAGGGGTTCTCTCTGTGCTCACATTATGTAACACAACACCAGAACTCTCAGAGGACAGCTCTCTCCCTTACCAACAATCTACATTCCTTGAGACAGGGGTGGTTCTCACTGTTTCCATCCTGCCCAGCTAAAGACTTCTCACCAAGTAAGATGCTCGAAAGCCGACCAGGGTTACCCCCACAGTGACTGGACCCTCTGGGGTCACATTGATGCAAGAGGAAGCGGGCACCTCATGCCTCTTCCACAATCTGGACAAGTCCAGCCTCCTGCTGCCCACTCTGCCCTGGAGTCCCAGGAGGCTGCCAAGAATCACAGCTCCAGCTGGCAAGTGGTAAGATTTTCTTCCTGGAAGGATTCTTGGCTTGAGAACTGGCCCTCACTTCTTCCATCCCTTGACAGCCTCAGATTGCTGGGGAAGTGGGGGCGTGGGGGGTGGGAGGCAGGGCCCGAGGAGTCCCAGCTTTATTACTGTTTGCCAAACTCCTTATGTCGTCCCTGCACCCATCTCCCCGCAAGTGTCGGTGGCAGGGGTCCCATTAAAGCACGTTTCCCAATGCTGGGTAGAGGTGGGGGTGGGGGGGAGGGCCAGCCAAATACTTGGTGCCAGGAGAGTGACTATCTCTGGCCACACACGCCCCACCCCTCACCCTGGGCTGCTTGAGCTTAATGTGGCCAGGGTAGAGCACAGGCCACGAGAATGAGAAGCCCCACTATGGGAGCTCAAAGCTAATTCACCCCAGTGATGGACATAGAGAATTACTCCAGATGGACAGTCCTTGTCTCTGTCAAGGCCCTAAAGCAAAACCCTTCAAAAACCCAGAGTCCATTTGAACTCACAGTGACCCTACAGGACCAGTGCAGACCTGCCCCATGGATGCCAAAGCTGTACTCTTTATGGAAATAGACTACATCTATCTCTCAGAGATGGGCTGATGGATTTGAACAGCTGACCTTTTGGTTAGCTGTTAAGTGCTTCACCACTATACCACCACTCACTCACTGCCACTGAGTCAATTCTGACTCAGGGATCCTAGGACAGGGTAGAATTGCCCCTGTGGGTTTCTAAGACTGTAACTCATTTTTGTGGGTGTTTGTACTTTATTTTAAAAATTAGTTTTAAAAAAACAAAACAAAACAAATTTAGTTTTATGGTGCTATATTTAACACATCATACAGTTCAATATTCCTGAGACTAGGGACTATAACTCTCTATGAGAATAGAAAGTCTCACTTTTCTACCGAGGAGTGGCTGGTGGTTTTGAACTGCTGACCTCAGGATGAGTAGCCCAATGCATAATCTCTATTCCACCAGGGTTCCTCAAAAGCCGTCCAGTCTTCTGACTTCAGGCCCCTCCAGAGGGACAGTATTGCTGTGCCGCCTCAACCCTCACCCAGAAGCACACACCCACTAACAGCTCTTTTATTTTCTCTTTAATTTTTCTGAAGGATATACACCACATATCCCATGGGCAATAAAGCGCATTCAATGTGTTTATAAGCCAAACAGTCACTTTGTTTAAGCAAACACATGTACAAAGTAAAAGAAAACCACAAAATAATGAACTGCATGTTCATAACATACGAAAATCGCCGCCTACTCAGTAGGTAACTACAACATTCCAACTCCTGAATATATTTATAAATTTACATTTTCAGTTAAAAAAATAGACTTTAGAGAGTTCAGATTTTTTTGATTGTTTCCCCCCATACATTCTGGAGAACAGAGGCTCAGCTCAGCCCTCTTCCTGGTTTTGCTCCCAAAGCCTCCCCCGGAGTCATCACTCCCTACCCCCCTTAAGGCTGGAGGTGAGCACATCCCTCACAATTGCACATGTCAAGCCGCTAGCAAGGCGCATCACACAAAAGGCACCAAGACGTGAGACTTCTTTAAAACCAAGAGGATGACAAATAAAAACCACTTTCGAAAAAGGAAAAGAAAAACCAAACCATATATATATATATATGTATATATATAGATTTTTTTTTTTTTTGCCACATGTGAGAGTACGGTGGTGGGGAAATATTTACAAAAAGGTTAACGGAACATCACTCTGACACATGCTCTGATTGACACCTCAGACGGCTGTTTCAAAAAAAGCTTCACACATCGTCACAGCATCGTCACAAAATAGAGGATCATTGGTTTGCTTGGGGTTTTTTTTTTTTAACCACCCCCCCACCCTTTTTGTTTTCTTCCAAGTGAGGACTTAATTCCAAATAATACAATAGGATATGCAAATTATCTTCACATCAAGAGTACCCGGTGGGAAAGACATGAAATCCATGGCACAGACGCTGTACAAGGTGCAGGGGTGGGCTGTGAGGGGCCCAAACCCCATGTTGCCGACTCAAGTGTTCTAGCATTGAAGGGAGCAAGGGGTCAGGCGTACGATGGAAATGATACTGAAATGATATATCCAAACTCCATGCAAATCAAGTTCTTTGGATAGAGGGGAAGAACTTGAACATGGCTGTTTCAGGCAGCTGAAGTCAAAGGGGACTGGGAAGATGGGGCCATGGGCACAAAGGATTGTAGGGCAATGGACGTTCCAAGAAGGCCTTGGGGTCCAGTAGCGGGAGGAGAGCACCCGGCTCTGAAAACCTCCGGTTGACCTAAGAGGACACCCCTCCAGCGGCCATGCCCCACTCCTGTCCTGAAAGTCTCTTGTGTTTGTGTTTCTTTCTTCTGTTTGGTTTCCCATTCCTCTTCAGCAAATTTCAATTGTCCTGGGAGAAAAGGTGGCCACCATGTCCGAAAGGCCTGTGGAGGCGCTGAAGGAGTTGGTGACCCCCGAGGCGGGGAAGCTGCTGACCTGGGCGGGGAAAGCAGGGGGCACCGCAGAGTACGTGGTGGTCACTGACGGCGAAGGGAAGCCGCTGTGCACAGGGGACGGGTAGGTCGAGGAGCCCGGAGAGGAGTAGGAGGTGGGCACGGGCGATGGGTACGAGGTGGTGGCTGGGGACGGGTACGAGGTAGCCACTGGGGACGGGTAAGAGGAGAGGGAAGAGGTGGCCGAGGACGCCACCACACCTTTGTCTGCTTTCTTGTCCTTCTGTCGCAAGTGGATCTTGGTATGCCTTTTGCGTTCATCGCTCCTGGCAAACTTTCTGCCACAGATGTCGCAGGCGAAGGGCTTCTCGCCCGTGTGGGTTCGGATGTGGGTGGTCAGGTGGTCACTGCGGCTGAAGTTGCGCATGCAGATGCGACACTGGAAGGGTTTCTGGCCAGTGTGGATGCGGATGTGGCGGGTGAGCTCGTCGGAGCGGGAGAAGCGGCGGTCGCAGGACTCCACAGGGCAGGCATAGGGTCGCTCGTGGGGGGGAGTCTTGCTGGGTCGGTTGGGGTATTTGCGCATGCGGCTGGGTTTGATCAGCTGGGACTGATACGTGGAGTTGAGGCCCTTCAAGTCCTGGGACCCCGACTGCGTGGCGAAGGCCTTGATGGTGGAGAGCGGAGTAAGGGAAGGCTGCTGGGTACGACTCTCCAGGCCCTGAAAGGGCTTCTGGTCCGGGGTGCTCAGGCCCAGGTCCCCCTGCTGCTGGGGAAACAGGTAGTCCGGGATCATGGGCACCTGGAAGCCGCCCTTGGCAGTAGGGTAGGCAGGAGGCGGATACTGAAGCGATGCGCCGGCCGAACCAGGAAAGGCCTGGCTCTGCGGCTCGTGGAAGATGTCGGCGTTGGGTGTGGGGAAGGTGGGCGCCGCGGAGTAAATGGGGCTGCTGTCGTTGGGTTGCACCGAGCAGCTCAAGGGTGGGCTCTGCGAGGCCGAGGAGGACGAGGAGGCAGTTGGCGAGGGAGCCGAGGACGAGGTGGCCGGTGGGTTGGTCATGCTCACGAGGCCACTGACCAAGCTGAAGAGTGGCTCAGGCCACAGGGTGTTGCCGCTGTTTGGTGCGGGCTCCAGGGAGAAGCGGCCGGTGTATGTGATGGGAGGCAGCCGGATGGTTTGGTTGGAGTAGGTCGTCTCCACCAGCGCCTTCTCGTTATTCAGAGAGATGTCAGGGAAGGACTCTGGCGGGAGAGAGAAAGGAGGGGTGGCCTGGTTACTGGAGAGCAATCACTGGAAAAGCAAAAGGACCCCAGCTGCAGAGCAAGCGAGCGAGAGAGCGAGAGGTCGGGACGGCTACCAGCGACTCCCGAGCTGGTTAATAATTGATATAAGCAGATTGCAATGTTCCTGGGCGCGCTCCAGCAGCAGAACCCATTTCAACAACAGCTGACGCAAATACAGAGAATCCCCCTCCATTGCAGCTCCTAACGCTCCACAGCGGCTCGCTCGAGGGATTCCCGCCGGCACCCCCAACGCACAGCCGCAGCTAACAGGCACCCCCTACCCTGGCCTGCCTGGCCCTCAATGGCCATGGAATGCGGCCCTTCCTTGGGGACAGGCAATGCAAGCCTTTAAGGGAGGGGGGAGGTTGGGAGAGCTGAGCCCTGTTCAGCAAAACAAGTCCTCCCCCTCTGCACCCACCCACGCAGCCCGAAAGCTCTCCATCCAGAACGACAGCTCATTCCTCTGCACACCGCTAGGGACCAGGGAGGGGGTGTCCCTAGCTAGGTTTCCCTCTAACACATGACCCTGGGGATCAGAGGAAGGGAAGGGAAACCCCACTCGCATCCCTAAGGACCGCGAGGGCTCCTGCAGTGAAGGGGGGCGCTGCAGAGGCGGTGGGGGAAGGACTGGCAGCCGGACTCAGCGAGAAGGTGGCTCATCCACGGCGCAGGCCACTGCTTACCTGCGGTCAGGTGCTCGTAAGGCTGCTCGCCCGCTTCCCCCTGCGGGTTGAAGGCGCTGCTGCCGCTGCTGCTGCTGCTGCTGTTGCTGCCGCTCCCTCCACCTCCACCGCCCCCGCTGCTGTTACTGCCGCTGCCCTCAGGGGCCCCGGCGGCACCCAGGAACTGGGGCGCCCCGTTGCTCAGCAGCAGCATCTCCTCCAGCTTGGGGTAGTTGTCCATGGTGGGCGAGTGAGGGAAGGAGCCGAACGGGTCGGAGACCTGCAGCGGGGACATCAGCTGCATCTCGGCCTTGGCCGTGGCCATCCCGGACGGACGGACGGACAGGCTGCAGAGCTGGCGTTGGGGCGGCGGGTGCAGCCCTGGGCCGGAGCTGCGGGGTCACACTCGCGGGGCCTGGCCGGATCACATGCGGGGTGCGGGGCACACTGGGGAGGGCGCAGGCGGGGCGCCCAGGCTCCGCAGGCGGGCCGGCGTGCGGACGCGGCACGGCAGCGGAGGCTGGGGCAGGGGCCGGTCCTGCAGCGGCGGCTGGCGGTGGCTGCTGGCGGCAGCGGCACGGCGGCAGCGGCTCCCCAAGTTCTGCGCGCTGGGATCTCTCGCGACTCCCCGGATCCGCCTCTATTTGAAGGGTCTGGAACCGCACGGGCCAGCCTCCGTCGTGACGTACATGGCCATATATGGGAAGCAGGAAGCCCTAATATGGCAGGACGGGCCGGGAAGACCCGGAGTGACGTGAAGCCCCCTGTTGGAGAGCGGTGGGCACCCCCAGTCCCGCGCCCCGGGCCCTGCGCCGGCTCACGCACCCTGGGTCCGCAGGCCTCGGGGAAGCCCACACTCCGGGCGCCGCGCGGGCCTCGCAGACCCAGGCTGCTCCCGAGTTTCCTGGCGTTGCCCCCGCCCCTTCCCCCCGCCCTTTTCCCTCCTCCCGGAGCCGGAAGCGGCCGGGCCATATCGGGCCACTCCATATAAGGCGCTGCCCATATTAGGATTGTTCCGGCGGGAGATCCTTCCTGCTCCTTATATGGCGTTTCCGGGTCGCTGCTCCCGGCTTCCTCGCTCCCGCCCGGCTGCCAGGTTCCAAGGCGGGAGTCGGAGTGCGCACAGGACAGGGGGCACCTGGCGCAGGCAGGGCGCCGGGCGCAGAGCGCGGGGCGCACGGCAGCTCGGGCAGCTCCCCGGCAGGGACTGGCCTGGGGAAGCCCGGGGCGGGGGCGAAGGCGAGCAGGGCCAGGGCTCCGCCGCCGTCATCGAGGGCTCGCCCGCCCACCTCGGGGACCGTGGGAGCGAGCCGGCAGCCGAGGGGAGGGGTGGCTGGGCGGGCTGCGACTGCGACTGCGGCTGCCCTAGGGAGGCGGGCCCTTGACCACGGTGCCTTCCCAGGTGTCACCGGAGAAACTGAGGCGAGGGCGTCCTGACTCCGTGCCTCCTGGCTCGCTGAGCTTTGCGAGGGCCCTCTTGTTCCTCCGCCTGCTGCCAGTGGGGTGAGGCTGCTAGGGCCTGGGGGGCCCCCACTGTGCTCGTACCCTACTCCCCACTGGGGACGAGTCCATCATTGGGGGACAGAATGAGGAAACTGGCCCAGGAGACACTTCGTCCTGGCAGCCTTGGGACTAACCCCCCTTCATCGCGTCCATCGCAGGCGGGCGGCTGCGGCGGGCTTCCCTGTGAGCTGACTGTGGAGCCCAGACTTGGCGCAAAAAAAGAAAGTAGCCCAATGAGTGGCTCATTGCTGCCCCTTGGAGGTCACCTCTCTAACTCCACTTGGGCCCTGCCCGAGCAGGCTCGGCCGCCGCCGCCGCCTCACACGGCCCCCTCCCGCTTGTGGGCTTGGCGCCGCGCCAGGCCGGGGCAGCCTTCGACGCAGTGAGAGCGCACTGAGCAGGCGCCGCAGCCGGGCTCTCCCTGCAGCCCGTGGGGAGCCGCCACCTCGGCGGCCCGGCTCTGGGATGGCACTCTTCCCTCCGAGCCCAGCAGGGTGGGGGAAGGGGGCCGGAAGAGTCTCGCAGGTCTCCCGGGAGCTCAACTGAAAAGGAAAACCCTCTCTGCAGTCACATGCGCACCCCAAAGGGAAGGGAGATTCCAGGAAGGGAAAGCTCTTGTTCTAGCTCTGAATCCAGGGGAGGTGCTGTTTTTGTAGTTGTTTTTTTAACTGAATTTTAAAAGAAAGAAGATTCATGTACAGAAGGAGGGTGCTGAAAATATGGAGGTGGGGTAGGTCAAGGGTCCTCTTCAGACCTAGAGGTTGGAAAGGGGGTGCAGGGTGGGGGTGGGGGTGGCTGCTAACTCAAGCAGCTTTCTTTTGACTCCTCGCTTCACACACACACAAAAAACAACTTAGGGAATCCAGCATTGAATCAGGTGGCCTCCAGGCCTTGTCTTTCTCCAGGCTGTAGGTTTGGGGTCCCCATACAGGGCCCCGTGGGCAGATGACAGTATGACTGTCCCCCGACTTGCTGGTTTGTGGCAGGAGTGACGTCCCTCTTGGGAGGCCTGTTGCGACAAGGCCAGGCAAGGTCAGATGGGTCTGTGCTGCAGTGTTCCTGGCCAAGCTTTTGCTCTCTCAGTTTTCTCATCTGTGAAACCGGATCAATACCGATGAAGAACTGTGGTGAAGACAAACTTTTCACGGGCTGCCCACCTCAGAAGCCCCACCAGCGCACAGTGCCTGACTTGCAGTTGGCATTCAGTAGGCAGTGACTATTGTTATTTTCAGAGGCCTGGGCTTGATCTGCTCACCCACCCATCCTCAGCCTCCAAGCAAAGCCCAGAGCCCCCTTTCTGAAAGGATGTCCAACGAGGGAGAAACATTCCAGTTCTAACACAGGGGACATGGTCCCGCAGAGCTATTCGGAACTGTTCTTGCTGAGGTCGAATATCACATCCCAGGGCAGGGGTTTTCCAACTGTGAATGTGCAGCAGAACCACCCTAGCGCTCACAAAGGGGTTATCCTCCCCCAAGTTCAGGAATGGGGCTTGGAGCAAGTGCCTCAGTCTGGACTTCCTGTGCTGTCCCTGGGACCAGAGCAAGCCACTGTCCAAAGTTTCAATGTGCAAGTGGACCTCGGGTATCTCGGTCCTCCCGGAAGCTGGGCCCTGGGAATCCTTGTAGCCTGTGTCTTTTGTTTTGCCTATCCGACATCAACTCCCTTCCTTCCTAGCCATGTCCTTTGGGAAAACACCCCATTCCATGTGGTTGGAAGAAGATGACTCCACCCATCTGGGGAGCCCATGTAGGGACCTAGAAGTAGGTGTGTCACTCAGGCTGGCTATCCATCTAGGATTTATTAGCGATTGATCCAGGGTGGTGTATGACCCAAAACAGGCCAATGGAAACCACTTCTGGAACTTTTTCTGGATCTCTTGTTATTGTTAGGTGGGATTGACTAGAGAAACAAATCCATAGATGTGTGTGTGTGTGTGTGTGTAAGAAAGTTTTATGCCAAAGAGCAATTGTATATTTGAGAAAACATCTCAGCCCAGTCCAGATAAAATCCATAAGTCTGATATTAGCCCATATGTCCGATACCAGTCTATAAATTCCTTTTCAGACTCATGCAGCACATGCAAAGATGCCAAATGCAGGAAGATCGCAGGCCAATGGGTGGAAAGTCTTGTGGATCCGATGGCAGTGGAAGCGTCTCAGCACTGGCATGGGTCTCCACATGGCTTCTCTAGCTCTCTAGTGTGGCTCCTTGACAGACAGCAAGGTGAAGCTGAGGAAGAGAGTTCTTACAGGTCTCAGCCCGTCTCCTGTCTCCTGTGGCTTGTCAATGGGAAAACGAAGGAAGAGAAAGAGAGGAAGTTCCCAGAATCCTCATGAGAAGGTCATGCCCACAAAGAATCATCAGGTGGTGACCTGATTGACAGGCTAGATTCCACCCCTTTACTCTTCTTTTTTTTTCACCCCTTCACTCTTAGTACCCTCAAGTTGACACAAGATTATGTAACCACGACATTAGATATCATTGGTTCTGACTCATAATTACCCTATTACAGTAAAATGAAACACCACCTGGTCCTGTACCATCCTCACAATTGTTCCCATGCTTGAATTTGTCAATCCATCCCCTTGAGGGTCTTCCTCTTTTTTGCTGGCCCTCTACTTTACCACGTATGATATCCTTCTCCAGGGACTGATTTCTCCTGCTAACATGTCCAAAGTATGTGACGTGGAGTCTTGCCACCACAATACAACTACCTGACTGACAGATGAGTGGTAGTGGAGCTCTTAAGAAAGGTGCCCTGGCCCCTCCTCCCCTGCCAGTAGAATCAAGTCTCTATCAGGACTGGAGAGCCTGCCTCCCACACAGAGGACCTCGGAGAAGAGAGACAGAGAGAGTAACCTCCTGACCTCAGTTTGCATTTTCAGTTATTTAAGCCGGTGAATTATTTTTATTTAATCCAGTTTGACTTTAACTTCTGCCACTTGCACCAGGTTCTGATTAATGGACATTTTGTCAACAAAGCAGAAACTTCTGTGGACAAGGCCTGGACATAGTGGACTAAGGCATCGACGCTTGTCTCTAAGGAGCTTCTACTATTTGATGGAAGAAAACCTGGATTTTATGTTACAAGAGCACTAAGAAAAAGAAGTTAGCCACCAAAAGCTAGAGAGTCCACGGGATAGAAGAGGAAGAGAGAGATTTTAGGGGCCTGGGAGGGGTCAGGGAAAACAAGGAGGCTTTGTAAGAGGAAAACAAAAACCATGAGAAAACATATATTTTGAAGTGAGGAAATGCGAGTGTGTTTGTGGAAGGGTGCAGGGGTGGAGTGGTCAGGAGGTCCTTGCCCAGGGCACCCAGAAAAGGACTGGAGCACAAAGGGTTCTGCTGGGAGCTGTAGGAGGCAAGAGTGAATAAAACATTCATTCTTTAAAACAAAGGTATATCAATATCATATAGATCATACTTTCAAAGGGTTCCATGCTTCTGGCAATCTAAAGCATAGAGGAGAAGCTTAAGGGGCAGTGGTCTAAGTGGATGGGTGAAACAGTTGGTACAGGTAGACATGGAGAATATAATCAGTGTTACTGGATTGTACGTGCAGAAAACGAGGAGTAGATGCATGTTCTGCTGTGTGTATTTTCTTTCTTTTTTAAAAAATCATTTTGTTGGGGCTGATACAACTCTTATCACAATCCACACATCCATCCATTGTATGTCAAGCACATTTTGCTGTGTGTATTTTCATAAAAAAAACTCTAAATATGGTTTCTCAGCCTCACTGCATGTCTCAGCAGTTGTCTAAGTGCGTGGCTGCTACTGAAAGGTCGCTGGTTCCAGCCCACCGGACCCTCCACATGTTAGAGATGTGGCTGGCTGCTTCTGTAGGGATCGCAGCCTTGGAAACCCCATGGTGCAGTTCTGCTCTGTCTCCGAGGCCTCTGAGTCAGAATGGACTGGTTGCGTTACACAATGCTGCCA